GTCACTGCTGCGTTTTGGAAAACGCTGTTCCCTTTACTGGGAACTCGTCTGCAGATGTCCACTGCGGATCATCCGCAGACAGACGGCCAAACAGAGCGCGTCAATCGAGTGCTCGAGGACACTCTGCGCAGTGTGTGCGCGGCAGCGCCACGTACGTGGTCGACGCAGCTTCCAGTTGTTGAGTTTGCGCTCAACAACGCGGTGCACGCGTCCACGGGGTTCACGCCGTTCTACTTGAACGGCTTCCGCCACCCCAGAGTGCCTCTCACTCTTCGAGGAAACACTGACTCCTCTATTCTAAGTGGGGGAGAGGCTCGGAAAGCCCTTTCCTCCCAGGTCTCGGATGTGAGGCCAGTTTCGCTGCGGAAACAGGTGGAATCCTTTATGGATACCAAGCTGAACATTGTCAGCAGGGTCCGCGATGCCATGGCAGCGGCCCAAGATAAACAAAAGGAGTACTCGGACAAACAAGGAAGAGGAAACTGAAGTATATTTGAGATTGGTGACTTAGTGTTACTAGACACGAGGAACCTACCTCTAGACACTGTTAGCTCTGTCGGCAGCAACAAGCTGAAGCACCGCTTCATCGGACCTTTTGCAGTCCTGGCCAGACATGGTGCGTCGTACACCATCGACCTTCCAAAGTCAATGACGACGCACCCGACGTTCTATGTCGGACGTCTTAAGCGGTACTTTGACCCGCAGGGGGTTGCTGACTCGCAGACCCCCCTTGACCCAGCTCCTCGAAGCGAGGGCCGGTCACAGTCGTCGACGAGGGCGTCGGAGCAGGCACCCAAGCCTCGGTCGGGACGGCAAGGCTGCGGTCAAGACCGTACGCCGGAGGGGCTCCATACGAACGGACCCCGGCGCCATACGCCGAGTACGCTGAGTACGCCGGGTACGCACCATACGCGTACGTCTGGGAGTGTGCCGCAGGCGGCTCCGGACGTGGCAACAAAGCCTCGATCCGTCGGATCATGCGAAAGGCCTCGTCCAGATCGGACGAAGAGGCCCGGCGGTCCACCCGCAGGTGCAGGCTCGCGACCTCTCGCTCCACCAGGTCCAGGCGACCCGCAAGACGAGCGAGCTCGCCCTGATTCCCGGCCTGGGCGGCAGCATTACCGCCAGTCCCAAGGCCAAGTGCAATCTCAAGCACGAGGAGACGTTGACGGAGGCGGTCAACCTCAGGGTCCCGTGTCGGACCCGCAGTCGGAGCACTCGAACGAGAGTGGCTCTCGGGAGGCGCCGAGTACTCGTACTCGTACGAGGGCACCTCCGCCCCTGCTTGACCGGAATGGAGAAGTCCACTTCCACGTGGAGCGGATCCTCCAGGAGCAACGGTGTCGCGGGAAGCGACAGCTCCTCGTGAAGTGGAGGGGTTATGCCCACTCCGAGAACTCGTGGGAGCCGATTGAACGGCTCCTGATTGACTGCCCGAAGGCTGTCTCAATCTGGGAACAGAAGCGGCGGCAGCTTCATAAGTAGTCCGGGGCTTCTTGCCCGAACGGGGTACGGATGATGAATACATACCGTACCCGCGCTCATCGTGAGCGCTAGAAGCCGCGCGCTTCAGGATGTCCCTTGGCAGCATACGCTTGCTGATCAAGTGGGCAAACCTCACACGAAGATCACGCTGGTCCAGGATGTGGGACAGCTGCTGATCTTCATGGAGTTCCCATAACTCCGTGGGCGAGTACTTGAGAGTCTCCACCCACGCCCAGAACATGTCCTCACAAGAACTCCATGTGGGACAGTTCTCAGGCATAACCCAGGGGTATCCCCAAACAGGATAGAGACCACCCCGGGTCTCGGGCTTCTTACGACAAGTCGTGAAGTCCTTAAGGGGAATGCGGTGTGGCGCGAGAAGCACACACCGAGCAGCCTCCACGTTGTCGACAACATCTGTTCTTTCTGAACAAGGGCTCGTTCCTAGATGCCCCTAG